CACTCTATAGGGGCAGGACTGGAGGCTGGGAGGCCACAGTGGAGGCTAGGGCAGAAGCCTGGGCAGGAGAGGACAGGCCAGATTAGGGCAGGGCAGGGGTGGAAGGGAGTTAATGGATGTGAGAGATATTCCTTGACAGAACAAAGTGACTACCAGGCTTTGGGAGTTAAAGGGTCAAGGATGTCCAGGAGGGGCCAAATCTCAGCTGGGTGATGACATGGAAGGTGGCCTGTCCCTGAGATGGTGCTCCGGGGGAGCAGCCAATATAGAGGTTGCTGCTGAGGCTGTACAAATTCTGGGAACATTAGCAATTGGGAGGGACCCCTTGTCCCCCCAGGACTAGAGATCCAAGCAGTTGGGAACCCTGGGGCTGGGCAGGCAACCAGAGGTGTGTGGCACTGAGCTGGCATGAAGGAGAATATAGCCCTGCCATCCAGGCCTCTTGCTGTCTGGCAGGCAGTGGCAAGCACAGAGCTCCAGGCTCAGGGGCTATGGGAATAACAATAAAACGAATAATTAAAGCTCGCCGTAATTGAGCCCTGCGGTGGCCAGGTATACCTCTGGGTTTAATCTTCCCTGGGGGCTGGGAGGTAGGTAGGAACAGCCCTGTTTGTTTTACAGAGGAAGCAAGGCTCAGAGAATCGAAACTACTTGCCCAAGGTCAGAGTATATGAGCAGCAGGGCCCGGATATCCCCTTCCTTGCCACGTGCTTAGCTCCTAGGTTGAGTCCCTACCACAGCCATCCTTGTCCTATTAGAGAGAAAAGGGGCCTCAGTTGGGAGATGGGTCCTAGAAGCTCAGAGAATGTCTTCCCACCAGCTGGGAGGGAGCTTAGGCCCATTCCAGAGGTCTTGAGGGGCAGAGCTTGGTCCCTGACTCATGTCCAAGTCCAAGGGAAGTGACTCAGCCCTCTTCTCCTCTCTCTGGGCCTCAATGCATCTTCTCTGTAAAATTGGGGTGGGGGTACTGCTTAACCTTTAAGGTCTAAGAGTTTGTGGAGAGGAAGCATCATCATTAAGAGCTCAGGCTGCGTCCATTCAAATCCTATTTCTTCGTCTTTCCTGCTGTGTAATCCCTGTGTAATCCCTAACTATCTCTGTGCCTCAGTTTTCTCATCTCTAAAATGGGAGATGTCTTACGGCTTAAATGTGTTTGTATTTCTAGCACTTACAGTAGGCCCAGGATGTGGTGTGTAGGTCAGGCCCCTCCTATTTCCTTGAGCTTTCTTCACTTCTTTCCTTCATTAGTCATTCATTCATTCATTCACTTCTTTTACAAAAAGAGTATCTGTGACTGTTTACTCTGAGGAAGCCAGTTTTCGTAAGTAAGTTCAGAGAAGCCTCACAGCCATTCAGTGAGGCAGAGCTGATTGTGATTCTCAAATTCCAGGTAAGCAGATGAGGTTCAGAGAGGGGCAGCTGTTTGCCTGAGGTCTGCTGTTAGGGACCTGCAGAGCTGGTGTCAGGCTCGGAGACACCAGGCTCTCTACCCTGTGCCACTTGAGTAAGTAATGGCTCACCCATCAAGAGTGCTGGCCAGCTGGCCTCTGGAATACAGCCAGGAGGCTGGAAGGAGTCCTCGAAGGTGCTGGCATTCCAGGGAGGGTTGGTCAGAGCTGGGCTGCCGGTTCTGCCCTTGCTTGTTTCTGGAAAGTCCTGGGCCCTGCCCATCTATGGCTTACAGTCCAGAGGGGAAGGACTCATCACCTAACAGTGACAACTGGAGTGGACAGGGCTGGGATAGGGGAGCCCAAGGACTAAGGAAGCCTGGTGGGAACATCTGACCTTGCCCTGGGGGTGAAGGAGGACTTCCCATAGGAAGAGACATCTGAGCCATTTGAAAGATTTCCAGGAGTTAGGCTGGCAGGAAAGATTGTCAGTAGACTGTTACTGGCCATGTCCCCAGCACCCAGCTTATTCTCCCTTCTCCAGTGTCTATCTCCATCTCTCTGTGCCTCCCTCCCCGAACCTGGGCCTCTCTTCTTCCATTTTCTTTACCTGACTCACTCTCACCCTTCGGGTCTCAGCACCAGTGTCCTCTGGGCTGCCCTGACCATGAACATTCGGGGGATCACTGGGGATGGATTTGTCTCCTTCTCTGGACTGTGAGCACTGGGAGGGCAGGGCTGGGGGTTCCTTGTCATCAGACAGGGGAGGTTCTCAAGGAAGTATGAGAAAGCTTAGGTTCAAATGGTGGCACTGGACACTAAGCAGACAAAACAAGGGAATGTCATGGTTTAAAGTGGGAGTTAGAGTAGGGACTCTTCAAAGACTCAAGTCCAGAGTTAGAGTAGGGATTCTGTTCAAAAACACAAGTCCAGAGGGGGTTCCTATGTTGCCCAAGGCCACACAGCTAGTAAGTGGCAGAGCAAGGAATCAGGATCCCAACTGCCTGCCACTCCATCTGTGCCTGCACCTCTACCAGGCTCCCACCCAGCAGTCACCTGGCATGGGAGGTAAGAGTAGAAGCATTTTGGCCTTGGCCTGGCTCCAAATCCCCATCTGTCTCTTGCTGTATGACCTTGGCACAGGCCCTCCCTCTGTGAGCTTCATTCTCCTTGTGTGGAGAATGGGGTGATGCAGCTGTCCTTGTGAGAGTTATGTGAAGGGCCTCGTGCACTGAAATCCCAGGTGGCACCTGGCGCATCATAGCCCTCCAATTTGGGCAAGGCTCTAAGGCTGTCTAAGCCTTAGTTTTCTTGCCTGTCAAATGGGCACATGGGAGGGGTCAAGCCTGGCTTTTCAGGTGCAGACAGGGTGTTAGACCCTGTAGCTTGTCTGCTAAGTAAGCACTGGGTGGTACTTACGCCACGGAGATGTGAGGATTCCACAGGGCACAGCCATGGCTTATTTTAAATCCCCTTGGCCAGATGTCACATGCTATCACTGCATAATAGAACACCAAGGTCCAGACTTCTGCTGTGGCTCAGGGTCCTAGGGATTTGTCCCTCCACCCTCCCTGCCTTTCTTCCCATCTCCCTCCGCCCTAGCCACACCTGTTTCAGACTCCAAACTGGCCATGCCTCAGGGTCTCCACCTACTGTCTTCTGCCCCAGTGCTTTTATTCCAGGCCTGTGTCTTCCTCCTTCAGGTCTCTGCTGATATGTCCCTTCTCCTTCCCCACTTCTTATTCTCCCACTTGACTTCCTCTTTGGGCTTGTTTACTTGCTTTGCCAAATTGCAGGGGGCCCAGGACAGAGTCAGAGTTGCCTCATTCAAAGCTCTGGCCCTCACTAACATACCCCTAGGGACCATGGCGAGGATTCAGGAAGCCCCTCCTAAAGTCCTGCCAGTAGTGCCCAGCTTGGTGCCTTGAGGGGTGGGTGTTGGGTGGGTATGTGGAATCAGTTTGGTTCCTGAAGATGGTGGCCTGAGGGGACAGGGCCTGAGGTAGGGAGGGATGATCAGTGCAGCGAAGAGGGGCAGGCTGAAGAGATGCTTTTGAGTTCAGCTGTGGACCTCAGCTTTCCCACCTGTGACCTAGGGGACTGGACCACACCCAACCTAGGGCCTGTTCTGGCTGGGGTGGTACATTGCCTTATGCCTCTTCTTCCATCTCCGCAGCCAAGGACTACGAGAACGCGATCAAGTTCTATAGCCAGGCCATCGAGCTGAACCCCGGCAATGCTATCTACTATGGCAACCGCAGCCTGGCCTACCTGCGTACCGAGTGCTACGGCTATGCGTTGGGTGATGCCACACGGGCCATTGAGCTCGACAAGAAGTACATCAAGGGTTACTACCGCCGGGCTGCCAGCAACATGGCACTGGGCAAGTTCCGGGCTGCCCTGCGAGACTACGAGACGGTAAGCTGGGCTGCAGGGTGTGACCCAGTGCTGGCCCCTGTGCCAGATGGCTGCTGAGGGGCCATTTGTGTCTTCAATCACTACTCATTTAGCCAGCGAGTATTTCTAGGGCCCTTGGCTGCAAGCTGACTACCCAGGTCACATCCCTGGAGGGCTGCCCCATGCTTTGTGACCCTGAACAAGTTACCTAGTCTCTCTATTCCTTTCCCCCTCTGTGAAATGAGGAGAACCAGAGGACCTACCCTTAAGGGTTATGTGAGGAATAAGTGAGTTTTGGTATCCTGTGATGATTAGCCTGACAGTTATTGTTGCTAATGTTGGTCGTGGTCAACAGGAATCACACTACCCTTCTGGTGGAGCTGGTAATTCAGGGGCTGGCAAAACAGCCCACCACTGGGTAGGTCGACAACATAACTATAGACCAAGGTCTGTGCTTTGAAGAAAATAGAGCAATTGGCTGTTGGGGCAAACAGACAGGGTGTATCAAAATGTAGTGATGAGAAGGGAATCTGAAGCCTGGCTGGAATTGCCTAGTGAATTTATCACTGCCACCACTGGTGCAGACGGTGCTCTGATGTTAATCATGACAGAGCAAGAATACATCTTCACACCAGATGTGTTCTATTTCTTCCTTGCTGGGGACTGGCTGACTCAAATCATTGTAGCAGCATGGGAAGTGGGAACTAGGATCACACCCATTGCACAGATGAGGAAACTAAGGCCCAAAAATGTTAAGTCACATGCCCAGTGACCCCTAACTGGTAAGTGGGAGCTGAGACTTGAACCCAGGTGGCTAGACCCTTAGGGCCTTGTCCCTCCCACTGCAGAGTTGGCTCCCTGAGGGTGAGAGTGGGCATTTGTTCTGTTCATTGGGGTGATGCAGCAGGAGCTTGGTCAGTACATGTTCTGCTCTCCCACATACAGACAGGTCTTTACTCCCTCCTTCCATTGCATCTGTCACATGCTCTGATAGCATTTCTTGTCACCTAGGGTGGGGCAGTCAAAGAGGGCTGAGAGGCCACAGTCTACAATTGGTGGAAGCTGGGTCAGGTGGCCTGGACTGGCTGCTCTCCTGGGGTGAAGGGTGGACTTTAGGCTGGGTCAAGGCTTGAGCCAAGTTTTTTTTTTTTTCCATTCTTCTTTATTCCTAGTTTATTTCCTCCATAAACACCTAGTTACAAGTTTCACAAATCAAAAAATAAAGGCAGAAGAGGTTATTTGGAAGATTTTTGTGATGTGTCTGAGTGGAGATTGTAGGAGAAGAGGAATTGGGAACCAGTCAGCTCCCTCTACAGCCCAGCATAGTGCTGTAACCCCTTAGGGGAAGAGGTGTGGAAAGATCTAGGGTAGCTGAGGGATGGAGAGGGCCCCTAAACTCAGAGCTCACCCCAAAGGTGCTTTGATGCATGGCAGGGGTAGAATGGGCAAGGTGAGGAGGTTCAAAGATGGAGCAGCAAAATGAAAAATGAAGTTAGTGGATATAGGAGAAGTGGAGTTCATCATGGTAGGGGATTAAAGAAGGAAAATGTAGGCAAAGGGAGCAGTGAAAAGTTCTCCCTGAGACCCCCCCAGAGAGAGGTAGGGGCCAGCTGGCCTGTTAATTTAATATTAAATTGGGGGTGGGAGTTGGAGAGGAAAAACTTATCTCAGGGGATGATTTCTCAGCCTGTACAAGAGAGGCTAAAGGCTGAGAGCCAAGGGCCCTCACCAGTCATAGCAGCAGGACTGTCTGGAAGGGGAATCCTCAGGTCCCTGTATGGCCAGGGGATGGCTATGTCTGGGTGGGGGCAGAGGCATGGAGGGGGTTAGAGTGACAGCTGGGAGAATGGAGGGAGGTACAGTGGATCAGAGTCCTTCTGAGCTTTGGCTCCCAAGCCATCCCCTGGCTCTGATGACATGGTGTGAGTGAAGGTCACGGGCGGGCAGGGCTCAGTAATGAATAACCAAGGATAGTAGAGGTTGGCTGAGGTTAGATAGGGCTGGGCTACAGGTGGGACGAAGACCTGGGGGAGATGTGTGGGGGCAGAAGACAAGAAGAGTGCCAAGAGGACAAGTCTAGGGCAGGATCTTTGGTACTTTCAGGGTTGCTGGAAAGTCTTTCCCCAAAGCAAGGAGCGGGTTCTTTTGAGGACTCTGGCCCAGTCTGGGCCCCAACCTCACATGTTTCCTGAGGCTTGGGTGGTTGGCTGCAGCCATCTGGTGGTCACATCCATGAGAACTGTGTCCAGGTTTGGCTGATGCCAAGGAGGGCTGGTGGGAGTATCCAGAGCCCTCTGCAGAACCACTCGAGGTGGAGCCACAGCCAGGCCCTAAATTGTCATAGTCCATTTCCCTGTGGGGGCTCTCCCAGCAGCACTGGGGACCCTCACTTGAGCCTGAAGGCCTACCAAGGGTCCTTTTTAAACAGGGGGCCAGTTCACTGTCCCTCAGACCTTGGAGGGCTGGACAGCAGGCCCGGGACGAGTCGGCTGCTAAGCAGGATAGGCAACAGTGGGCCGGATAAATGTCTACGGCAGGCCTCATGTGCCCCACGGGCCATAGTTTGAGAACCCCTGGCCTAGCCTATCAGGAGGCCATCATATGCCTGCAGGCCTTCCATCCTGCTCCCTTCTGACAGGGTTCTTCAGCCCTGTGTGCCCCAGTCCAGCTACCCCTGCCAAGACCCTTCTTGCCCTCCAGACACCTCTTGTAACAGATGCTGGAGTGTGACAGAGGACATTGCCCAGGCCCTGTCCTTTTGGACCCGGAGCTCACCTGAGGACAGAGCCAGATGTGACCTTTCAGCAGCCTGGGTTCTTATGTGAGGGTATTCCCTTTCTGGGCCTCATTTTTCTCATGTGCTGCTCACTCTGGCTCCAGCACCACTGGGAGCTCTTTGTGTGCCTGAATCCAACCTGTTTTATAGGGAAGAAACTAAGGCCTAGAGAAGGGCAGCCCTTCTTCCAACGTCACCCACCAAGGAAGTGGTAGAGCTAGAACTTGAACCCAGAGTTCATGCTTGTAACTGTTTGTGGGCAGCAAAGTCAATTGAATGTCTTGAGACCAGCACTTTTCATCTTCATTAAATGTGGAGAAGAGAAAATTGTTCATCGTTTGGAGAGAGTATATGTATATATTGTTTAATGAAAAATGTTTTTCACTTTCATGAATATAGGTGTGTGTTGGCTATGATGTCAGCCATAGAAGGTCTGAGATGCAAGGCACAGGATGCCAGTTTCACAGCCAGCTCAGACTGGGAACCAGTGTCTCCCAGTGCCTTATCTCTTGGGTTTTAGTGTCCTCATCTGTTAAAGAGTTTGAGAATATAGGGATAAAAATCAGTATTTTTTCTTTTTTCTATTTTCTTAACTCAGTAATTAACACTTCTGAAACTTCTGGTCACCAGGAAATGTATAGAGATTTCTTCCCACCAGCAATTAAGCAATCAGTTTTGTACTAGGCACTGGCTGGGTATCCTCTTATTCAATTCAGTTCTGACATTATCTATATAGATGTAACATCACATCCAACAGGTTGAAGGCTTTGCCCCACAAGACTATCTTCTTGTGGGACAAAGAATTTGTCAGTTGCCCAGGTGGTTTTACCTGTGCCTCTGACCAGCTGGCTATCATTCAGGGTTCCCACAACCCCCTTCATAGGTTCAATTAATTTGCTAGAGGGGCTTACACAACTCAGGGAAACATATTTACTGGTTTGTTAGAAAGGATGTTACAAAGGTTACAGATGGCCAGGTGCAGTGGCTCATGCCTATAATCCAAACACTTTGGGAGGCCAAGTTGGGTGGATTGTTGAGCTCAGGAGTTCTTGACCAGCCTGAGCAAGAGCGAGACCCTGTCTCTACTAAAAATAGAAAAACTAGCTGGGCATTGTGTCAGGCGCCTGTAGTCCCAGCTACTTGGGAGGCTGAAGCAAGAGGATTGCTCAAGCCCAAGAGTTTGAGGTTGCTGTGAATTATGACATGGCAGCACTCTACCCAGGGCAATAGACTAAGACTCTTTTCTCAAAAAAAAAAAAAAAAAAGTTACTGATGAAGAGATGCACAGCGGAGGTGTGGGAAGGGTCGTGGAGCCTCCATACCCTCTCCTGGTGCACCATCCTCCAGGAACTTACATGTTCTCAGTTATCTGGAAGCTTCCAGAACTTAGTCCTTTTGGGTTGTTATGGAGGCTTCTCTAGGCAAGCATGATTGATTAAACCATTGGCTATTGGTGATCAACTGAACCTTTGGCCCGTTTCCTTAGAGGTCGGAGGAGGGGAGATGAGACAGAAAGTTTCAGTCCTATAATCCTGCCTTGGTCTTTTCAGTGACTAGCTCCCACCTTGAAGCTACTTAGGGGTGGCCAGCCACCAGTCAACTCATTAACATACAAAACCCTACCACTTTGGAGATTCCAAAGATTTTAGAACCTGTATGTCAGGAAATGAAACATTATGAATGCCACATATGTATTTCACAGTATCATAGTCCACCCTTGGTCCTCAAACACAGTTCCCTTAGAGCAGCAGTTCTCAACCTGTGGGTCGCGACCTCTTTGTAACAATGAAAATACATCCTGCATATCAGATATTTGCATTACGATTCATAACAGAAAAATTACAGTTATGAAGTAGCAACAAAAATAATTTAATAGTTGGGGGTCACCACAACATAAGGAACTGTATTAAAGGGTCACAACATTAGGAGGCATTAGAAAGGTTGAGAACTACTGCCTTAGAGGATATACAACTGAGAAGATACTGACATATAACTGCAATTCAGTCATTTTACCCAAATAAGTCTAGTCTTTCAACCCAAATAAGTGACTGAGGCAAAAATATCAATCCAGTAGAAATTTATTAAACCAAATTGGGGACTCACCTTGGAAAGATGCTGAGGTAGACCTGTGACTGTTTTTCAAAAGAGAAGCTTCAGCATTTAAAGGCCTATGGGGATAATGGAAGGAGGAGGGGACTGATGAGGCAAAATGGTTATGTTCTTGTGAGGCCCAGGAAATTTACTTTTTATAATCGAATAAGAGGAATGTTAGAAGAAAAAAGGGGGTGGCGGAAGCATCAATTATGTAGATGTAGGTGGAAGAATGATTCTGTGTGGCTCCAGTGCTGTCATCTGTAAGGGAAACTCGTAATTCATTATTGGTGTGGAATTGAACAAGCTTTAGTTTTAGATTCTAACAGTTAGAATTTGCATGTCCTTGCTTATGGGAGGTCAGTGGGGAATTTCCTTAGTGGACAATCATGGGGCCAGTTCTACACAGATGCCTGAGTTCTTTACCTTGCCTTTGTATAAGGAGTTAAGGCGGTGGCCCTTTTTTCTTTTTAAGAAGTCCATTGTATTGTATGAGTACGTCAACTAGTGTGAAGGTCATTCAGATTTTCAGGCTTCCATTCCATCTTGTCAGGTTCCATAAGCAGGGGTGGTTTTGGCAAACCCACCTTCACCTTTTCAGGAATCTGGTGTAACTGAGCTAAGAGACACTGTCATCTCTTGCTGTGTGCCTTTTTGGGGGTGTTAATGTGTCATAGTATTGGATTTTACTCAATTTGTAATCTGTTTATTCATTCCTTTATCCTCAGCTGCTATCCTTCTCTTCATGTATACCTGTTGACCTAAAGGAAGAAACTAAGGCAAAATTAATAGAGGTAGAGAGTTTATTTGAGCCAGAGTTGAGGACTACAGCCTAGGAAACACTACAAAGTTTTCTTGGAAATTGCTCCAGGAAACAAAGGAGAGGCTCCACGACAAATCACGACAGGGACAATTATAAGAGCTGTTTTTCAGGAATTCTCCTTGATTTGTAGGACTGACATCAATTAGTAATTGACTATACATTGTTGGCTATACATGGGTGTCGATGTGACATTGTTAGGTTGATGTATAACTCTCTGTGGCATAAGTCAGTCTAGAGCAGTGGTTCTCAACCTATGGGTTGCCACCCACAGGAACTGTATTAAAGGGCCGCGGCCTTAGGAAGGTTGAGAACCACTGGTCTAGAGTCTATATAGCAAAGAGCTGTTTACTTTTCTCAAGGGGGGAGTGGGACATGACTGCCGTCTCGTTGCTGTGCCACTCTGGTCCTTATAGTTTAAAAGGGACTCACTTTCCTCAGATAAAAAGTTTGGTTTTTTTTTTTCCACCTTTGTAAGGGACATTTGAATCAGCCACTGTGCTGGGTCTAGATTTTAGGACATGATGCAAGTCTAGTAAGTGCCTCCCTTCAGTCACTCCCGTTCAGATGCAGGAATACTGCACAGGCTACTTCAACATCTGGCAATATACAGCTGCATTCACTCTAGCCCCAGTTTTGCCCAGTGGGATAAAGGCAGTACTCACCCCCATCAGGCCTTAGGAATTCTGATGCACGGTTTAAGAAGATAGTTAACAGTTTCTTGCTTAGGAATTATCTTGCTTCTAGCACTTACAGTTGAAGCTCTGGTCCTGGGACCACTGCATCAGGTGGAGAGTAAGGGGTGGGAAGTTGAGGTGATGTGTAGAAGAAAAACAAAAAAAATGTAATCGTTATGTTAGGGTGCTTCTCCCTTGGCAAAAGGGAGCATCCCAGCATCTACCCCACCCCATTTCATCCCAGCATCTACCCCACCCCATTTCATCCCAGCATCTACCCCACCCCATTTTCCCCAGATTCTGTATTGAATGTTGCAGCTGGGAGTTAGGTAAGGTGCTAATATAGTGCTGGCTGAAACATGGATCAAAAGGTGGCCCTTGACAAGTGAAAAATGCCCAGTCTCTCTTGGTTTAACATAAAGGAAGAGATCTAAGCCTTAGAAGACCGGAACACCAAAGTGTATTTGTCACTTAAAACCTACTCACCCACACTGAGAGGGTTCAGAAGACATACTTTTCACTAATTCTTTGAGAAATAGATTTGTGAGCAAGTCTCAGCAACTCTGAAGAATGATGATTGTGCCTCTCTGTATGCTGGACCTTACAGTGGGGACCACGATCATAAATTAGGACACTTAAACACAGTGGGAATAATTGGATCTCAGGGTGGCAGGGGCCAAGTGGTAGCCCTCAGCCATTGAAGGCCAGGTCTCTGTAATGGACGGCAGAAGCAAAGCAGCGATCAGAGTGTTCAGAATGTTGTTCTCAGTCAGAGTAGGGGTTTGTGGAGGTAAGGTAATCAATGGAGTTTGAGCTGAGGTCCAGCTCACAGTGGGTCCACTGGACCCCTGAACCCTTCTTGTGGTCATCCCTGCAATTCCAGCATGTGTAATCAGAATGGACATACTCAGCAGCTGGCAGAATCTCCATGTTGGTCCCCAAACCTGTGCAGCGAGGGCCATTATGGTAGAAAAGGCCAGATGGAAGCCATAGAGCTGTCTCTACCCAGGAAAGTAGGGAATCAAAAGAGTATCACAGAGGGACAGCAGAGATAAGTGCTACCACTGATGAAAGGTGCAGGGTGGTGGTGATTCCTACACATCCCCACTCATTCACTATGGGGGACAGAGCTGTAACTGAGCCTTGGTCCTTCCCTCATAGAGCCATCTTCCAATGTGGTGGGCAGACCCATTCCCAGCAGTGCCCAGGGCTGAGGCAAGGAGACCTGGGGCCCTATGGAGTTCTAGAGGATGTGCCTGACCTAGCTGGAGGAGGGGACAGTGGGGCTAAGACCTAAGGGAGGAGAAGCTAGGAAGGAGTTGGAGGTGGAAAGGAGGTGTTCTGGGCAGGGACAGCCTGTACAAAGGCTTGGAGCTAATAGGGAGCTGGCACATCAGGGGCTTGAGATGGCCTGGTTGGGTGGTACTAGGCAAATAGAGACAGTGGTGAGGTGGATGTGGTCCATGGGCCAGGCCATGTGGTGGTTTGGACTTTTTTTTTTTTTTTGCAGTTTTTGGCGGGGGCTGGGTTTGAACCCACCACCTCTGGTATATGGGGCCAGCGCCCTACTCCTTTGAGCCACAGATGCTGCCCAGTGGTTTGGACTCTTTCCCAGGTGTGGGAAGCCCATTGGGAAGGACTCCAGGGCCTGTTTGGTGGTGCTAACCCTCCCCTGTCTTATATCACACCCACGAGCTAGGTGGAGCCATCTGGCAGGGTGCCCTGGCTGGGACCTACCCAGACAGGGAGGAGGCCATTGCCTACTGCTCCTCAGCTTCTTCCTACCCCGCTTGGTACACACACCTATGCCCAGGGTGAATAAGCCTCACCCCTAAGCTGTTGGCCAACCAGCCTGCAAGGGTTAGTGTTTTAGCATAGGTTTCTGACTCACACTGCTCACCGGGGGCTGCCCCTGCTTCTTGAGGGCCAGTTCTGGCTACTTCTGTTCCCTGGCACCAGGAGCTATGGGGGCCAACTCAGAAATGGGCAGGTCAGGCAGGGCTCACAGTAGTACAGTGATAATTACAGATAACCAGAGACATGAAGTCACTTGTCTGAGATCACATAGCAAGTAAGTGCAGAGTGAGGATCTGAATCCAGCTCTGTCTGCTTTTGAGGGTCAGAGTGTGCAGTCAGTGGGGTAGAAAGTGGGGAGAGGGAACAGACTCCTTTACCTTACTGTATCCTAGGGCCCCAAGCTCACTGGGCTCATTTACTCGGCACAGCAACCCAGGGAAAGGGGCCAGGAAGAGCTGTCTGTGCTCTGCAGTTCATTTTCGCCTGGCACTGCTGTGTTCACTCACTCAGTTCTCACTGCGGCTCTCTGAGCTAGGTACCATTGTGGGTCTTGCCTCCGGAAAACTGACCTACAGAGAGGCAGACTGGCCTACCCAAGCTTGCTCAGCTCATAATTGGCAGAACTGGGATTTGGCCTCAGGTGGCCTGGGTCTATGGCTCAGTCTCACCTCTCTTCACTGGAGAAAGCTGAGGGAAATAGTTTGTCCTGGGTCCCTAGAGGTTAAGTGAGGCGCATGACTCCATGCAGTTCTGCTCCCTGCTCCTGCTGCCCGCCAGGCCTTGCATCTGTTACTTATTCCTCCTGACAGCCCTGGCAGGGGGAGCCCCTCAGCATCCCCTCTTTATATCTGAGGGAACTTGAACTTAGGGAGTCTGGGTCACCCAGTAAGTTACTGACCCTTCAGGTGAGTCTGGGCTCTGGATTGTGATCATAGACCTGGTCTGTCCTTCCTTTCAGGTTCCCACTGCCTTGGTAACACAATAGTGACCTCAGGGTGATTGCCTCTATCACTCTGCTTATGCCTATGCTAGTTCCCAAGGGACTTGAAGCTGAGCAGTGGTTCTCAGACAGGAAGTGGTGTTTGCTTTTAACAGTACCCATGGCTAGACCTATGAAGCACACCTGTGTGGGCAGCTCTGTTGTACCCTGTTTAGGTGCAGAAACCAAGGCTCAGAAGTGAAACACATACAGGGTTGCTCTCACGTGGGGTCCCTGGCAGTCTGACTTCAGGGTTCACAGAACCAGGGCTAGGCAGTCCCCAGTGGAGGCTTCAGTGTGTATGCTCCTTCCTTCTTGCCCAGGTGGTAAAGGTGAAGCCCCATGACAAGGACGCCAAAATGAAATACCAGGAATGCAACAAGATTGTGAAGCAGAAGGCCTTCGAGCGGGCCATCGCGGGCGATGAGCACAAGCGCTCAGTCGTGGACTCTCTTGATGTTGAGAGCATGAGTGAGTCAGACTAGGTTGTCCCATCCTCCCCACCAAGAACATCTTGGCATGAGCCTTCCCCATTGCCTGCATACTTTGAGGTACAGGCGAGCTGGGTGGTCCCTGGCCCTATCCCTGGGTCCTTGTCTGTTGCTTCTCTGCCTGCATCCCTGAGTGCAGTCCAGAGTTGGACCTCGTGATCCCCATTGTGCCAGGTTGGGGCCCAGGGTCCCCCTCCTCCTCACTGCCCCTCTTCCCCTGCCTGGGCCCTGGCTCCGTGTTGGCCTCTCTACCACCTATTCCCCTGCCTCCTGGCAGGAGCATCAACCCTTCACAGCCTCCGCTGTCTGATTCACCTCTTGGGGAATCAGGAAGAGGCCTCTGAGCCAGACCTGATGGGGAAGGGGACTCTGCACTCAGTCCATTCTCCTCGAGACCTGTGTGGCCAGGGCTGGGTCTGCCCCATCCCTGGGAGCCAGGCCGCCCTTCTCACCTTCACAATGACTGTGGCCACTGACTTTCCTTCTGTTCACACACTAGCCATCGAGGATGAGTACAGCGGGCCCAAGCTTGAGGACGGCAAAGTGACAATCACTTTCATGAAGGAGCTCATGCAGTGGTACAAGGACCAGAAGAAACTGCACCGGAAATGCGCCTACCAGGTATCACACCTGCACTGGGCCTGCCTGGGACTCCTTGTAGCATCTGCACAAACCACCATGGATGCTGAGCGGGAGAAGGACAGTCAGGACAGCTGACGCTGTGTGGGCATCAGGTGCCATGCTGAGGGGTTACTGCATGATCTCATCTAATCCCACGGCAGTTTGGAGAGGTGGCAGGTGGTACCCTGTCAGAGGTATAGAGGCACAGGGCCAGACGGTTAGGTGACCAGCCTTGGGCCACAGGTGAGGAAGCAGCAGAGCTGTTGGCTGACAGTTTCGATCCTGGGCTTTTGAGCATCTGTGGCTGTCAGCTGCTGCAGGTTGTTTGAGATTTGATGGTTCGTTAAGATGGTTCGGCTGGCCACAGGTTGTTGAGCTAACTGAGACATAGGCTCCGGTATTATAACTGAATGAGACCTTCTCCCTTGACCTCTCAGGGATGCAGAGACCTCACTGTACAGTTGGGGAACTGCTGGGGTCCTGCACTTCCTGGGATGGTATAAGGAGGATTTGCTCTGAGTCCTCTTGACAGGCAGTTGAGTGTGGCAGGTGATTGGGAAGATTTAGGGAGCAGTTAGGCCTGGTGCAAGCAAGCATTCACCCACCCCACCTACAGGCAATGCATGATGTTGCCAGTTGATGGATCTTTGAGCCAGATGGCCTAGGTTAAATCTTCCTGCTTACTGGCTATGTGCTCATGGGTAGGCGGCTTTACCTCTCTGTGCCTTGATTCCCTTGTCTGTAAAATGGGGATAATCATACTGGCTCCTCCAAGGGTATTTGTGAGCGTTAACTGAGTCTAATCCTCATCAGTACTTAGAACAGTGCCTGGCACATTGTGCTCTGAATGGATTAGCTGTTACCATGAACAGGATGAAGATGAGCAAAGAGAAAGGATGTTCACATTCCTGCTTGTTTTTGATTGGAATATAATTTATACACAGTCTGAAATGTCTGGGTAGATGAGTTTAAGTTTTATGTGCCCACTGCCCAAACAAGTGGTAGAACATTTCCATCACCCAGCAAGTTCCCTTGACCCCTTTGCCATAAGTCCCCCATCCCATCCCAGAGGCAGCAGATAACCTAGTGTTCTTTCTTTCTTTCTTTCTTTTTTTTTTTTTTGTAGAGACAGAGTCTCACTTTATTGCCCTCAGTAGAGTGCCATGGCGTCAGACAGCTCACAGCAACTTCTAACTCCTGGGCTTAGGCGATTCTCTTACCTCAGCCTCCCGAGTAGCTGGGACTACAGGCGCCCGGCTATTTTTTTGTTGCAATTTGGCCGGGCCGTGTTTGAACCTGCTACCCTTGGTATATGGGGCCAATGCCCTACTCATTGAGCCACAGGTGCCACCCTAACCAGGTTTTCTGTCACCTTAAATTAATTCTGCCTGGTTTTGAATTTCATAGAAATGTCAGAGGGGTCTGTAATCCTCAGTGTCTCTTGTCTTCCTTCACTTGACTTAATGTGTGAGCTTCATACCTGTGTGTTGTATGAAGTACTCCTTCATATGAATAGCCCACCATTTGCTCATGCAGTCTTTTAAGAGACATTTGGGGTGTTTCCACTTTTTAACTTTCATAAATCTGCTGTGTACTTTCTTGGACAAGTCTTTTGGTAAATATATGTTTTCATTGCTGTGTTGAATTTCTCTTTGTATTTTTTTCTATTTCATTGACTTTCTTTTTTTTCAATTCTCTTTTTTTTTTTTTTTGAGACAGAGTCTCACTGTGTCACCCTCGGTAGAGTGCTATGACATCACAGCTCACAGCAATCTCAAACTCTTGGGCTTAAGTGATTTTCTTGCCTCAGCCTCCCAAGTAGCTGGGACTACAGGTGCCTGCCACAATTGTCATTGTTGTTCAGCAGACCTGGGCCGAGCTCAAATCTGCCAGCCCCGTTGTATATGGCTGGTGCCATAACCACTGAGCTACAAGCACCAAGCCTTTTTTTTTTTTTTTTAATTCTCATCTGCATGCTTGGGGCTTAAGTTGCTTTCTTCTAGCTTCTGAATGTAGATGTTTATGTTGTTGGTTTTATATTCTCTTCTACACAAAGCATTTAAACCTAAATTTCCTGCTAGGCACTTTAGTGGCATCCCATGAATTTTGATATGTTGCATTTTTATTATCAGTTAGAATTTTTTTCTGATTTTCTTTGTGAGTTCTTATTTTACCCATAGGTTATTGAGAAGCATATTGCTTAATACCAAATATTTGGGGACTTTCTAAACATACTGTTCTGAGTTTCTGATTTAGTACTGTTTGGATCAGAGAACATACCCTGTATGATTCCACTTGGGGCTATTTTTAGGATTATCTTGGCAAACATGCAGGGTGCACTGGAAAATAATATGTATTTTGCAGTTGTTCATTGCAGGGCTCTATTAAGGACAATTAGGTCAAGATGGTTGAGACAGCTGTTAAAAATCTTACAGCCTTACTGTTTTTTCCTAATTGTTCTATTATTTATTGAGAGAGGGCTGTTAAAAGCTCTAACTATGCTTGTGGATTTGTCACAAGTTCTGTCGATTTTTGCTTCATGTTTTTTAAAACATTTTTTTAGGTACACGTTTAAGATTATTATTCTTTCCTTATAAATTGACTCATTATGAAATGACTCTAGCAGAACATTTTGGCTTGAAATTCATGTTTTCTGTTATTAATATAATTAGACCAGATTTTTTATGCTTAGTATGTATATGGTATATTTCTACCCTTTTATATTCAGCCTATCGATGTCTTTATATTTAAAGTATTTTTCTTGTAAGCATGTACCTGGATCTTTTTTATTCAGTCTGACAATCTCTGCCTTTCAGTTGGAGTGTTTAGTTCATTTATATTTAATGTAACTATCATATATGCAACCGCATTTAAATCTGCTATCTCGATATATCTTTTCTATATGCCCATTTACTTTCCCCCACTTTCTTCCTTTTTTGACTTTGTGAATTGAGAACCTTTCAGCATTTCATCTGTTTGACTAAATTTTCCTTTTTTTTTTTGAAGACTTTAGTTTCAAGTTTTTGACTGAATTTCCTATTATACCTTAGCACAGGGGTGGGGATCCTTTTCATGTTGGAAGGCAACATTTATTTAGCTGTAGTCAAATAAAGCCATATTCAAAAAACTTTAATTAGCTATACTTAAAAACGTACATTATTTTGCAAAAATCTAACTACTGTGTACTTAATTTTAAAAAATGAAAATTTTTAATTTTAAATTTAATCAATCTTTTAATGATTTTGTTGTGTTTGCTTTTTGTTGGAAAACATTTGAGTATTTGGTTGCAGCATGAAGGTCTACAGTTTCAGTTGACCCTCTAGATGGGTATCTGACTGTAAGGACATCTTTTTTCATTTTGTAGAGACAGAGTCTCTTATTGCCATGGTGTCACACAGCTCACAGCAACCTCCAACAACTGGGCTTACGTGATTCTCTTGCCTCAACCTCCTGAGTAGCTGGGACTACAGGTGCCCGCCACAGTGCCTGGCTATTTTTTTGTTGCAGTTGGGCCGGGGCCGGGTTTGAACCTGCCATCCTTGGTATATGAGGCTGGTGCCCTACTCATTGAGCCACAGGTGCCACCCTGTAAGGACATCTTGATTTGAGTTAGGTAGGAAAATGTAAATTGGCAGCAATAAGTGGTTGAAAAGCAAGAAAGCATTTTTTGGGCATGTTGCCAAAGGCATGGGCATTCTACTGCATTTTCTCACATTTCAGTTGGATCTTCCTTAACATCAAACAATGACTTTAAAATGTCATCTCCCAAGAGCTCTGTCAATTTAGTCTGTAGTTCTTTAGGTGCCTTGGTGATACCATGTGAGACTGAAATGCTAATTTGAGTGTGATGTCATAATTCTCAAAATCAGTGAACCTTTCATTTTCCTGTTAATAGGTTTATAATACCTACATATTCTTCAGATGATTCACATATGTCATTTTGCTTATCAGTGACCTTTGCTACCTGGGGAAAATATTCGTCCACAATTTGTTTTGAGGAAGTGTCTTAAGGCCAGGGGCAGTGGCTGACGCCTGTAATCCTAGCACTTAGGAGGCCAAGGCGAGTACATTGCCTTAGCTCACGGATTTGAGACCAGCCTGAGCCAGAGCAAGACTTCATCTCAAAAAATAGCCAGGCGTTGTGGCAGGTGCCTTGTAGTCCCAGCTACTTGGGAGGCTGAGGCAGGAGAATTGCTTGAACCCAAGAATTTGAGGTGGCTGTGAGCTGTGACGCCACAGCATTCTACCAAGGGTGACCAGGTGAGACTCTTGCGTCAAAAAAAAAAAAAGTTTTGGAAAAAGATAGCATTTTTCAAAATGCTTGAATTTTTTTTTTTTTTTGCCATACATTATATATGGACTTAGTTTTACCTTACAAAGAAATATTCAGATTATTTTGATTTGACATTATCACACAGAGATGCTGCATTCCTATAGTAATCTTTTAGTAATTCACATTGCTGATTCTGTTCTTCATAAAATTTAACTATCTGTTCTCACAGAGATAAAATTCTGGCTAACACCTGTCCCTGTGCTGCCATAGCCAGTGCACTTGAGAATGATACGGCAAATTTGTGCTGAATACCTCACGGTCAACTTTAGCACATCATGAAACTGACAATGTTGTGTTGCATTTGCACAAACATAGTTAACAATACTTACAAAGATAGTAGCTTTAGCACAGAGATTTTGCTGATGCAAGATATAATGAAAAGAAATGAGAGCATCTAGATCTATTAATACTTTTATTTAATCTGTGCAATAAAACCCTTCATGTTTTCCAGTTGTAGAAGGTGCACTGTTTGTACATAGACTCACTAAATTTACCAAATTTGGTCTAACTTCACGACATTTATCTTAAAAGTTGTTGAAGATATCTATTCCCCATATTCTATTTATAAGAGTGCCCAAAGTGAGTAACTCTTCGTAGCAAAAAAAAAAAATCTGTTATGACCTGAATGAACAGTAAAATCCATGCTGAGTCAATATCAGTTGATTTATCCAAAGCAATTGAATAATATATATTTTCCTTCTGAAGTATTGCATGAAGTTGTTCTGTTAAGTTGAAGGCTAATTCATGCTGTGGATCATTTGTGATTCTCCTTAAAAGAGTCAGTTATTTGTACTTTAAAACATTACTGGGGTCTAAGCATTCTACAACTTGGACTGTGCATTATTTTACAATTTCTCCATCATTGAATGGCTTCCCTTCCCCCCCGCCCCCCAAATATAGGCTGCTTTATAAGTTCCTTCAGTGGCATTATTCCAGATCTTAATGCTGCTTGAAAGAATTGTCTTTGCCTTTTTTCTTTCTTTCTTTCTTTCTATTTTTTTTGGAGACAGAGTCTCAAGCGTTTGTCCTAGGTAGAGTGCCATGGCGTCATATCTCACAGCACCCTTCATCTCAGGCTCAAGTAATCCTCTTGCCTCAGTTTTTTTTTTTTTTCTATTTTTAATAGAGACGTGGTGTTGTTTTTTTGCTCAGGCTAGTCTCCAATTTGCCTTGGCCTCCCAGGGTGCTAGGATTACAGGTGTGAGGCACCATGCCTGGCCTGTTTGCTTTTTTATCTTTTAATTTCTGCAGTACAACTGTTTATGCCTCTCCCTCTAATTTAAAATATTGGTAGACTTTATTAGCGTTATGATGCTGAGGAGCACTGAATTTCTTTTTTGTTGATATTGCAGTATCATAAGCAAATCACTTTATCTTTAGCAGAAACAAGATAATGTTGCAGTTCCCAGTCCTCATTGAAAAAACCTGTTTTCTTCCTTCAGCAGTCTCTTGTTCTTTTTTGACATTATAGGTTAAGTAGATAGAATTAAAGAGTACTGAAAAAAAAAAAAAAGAATTAAAGAGTACTGGAATTATTATTATTCACAAATTCCACTTCATACAAACAGTGTATCCTTGGCAAAAGCTGATAACTGGTGTACTCAACCCCCATAAATTCTCACCAACCAGCTTCATGGGGCAATAGTGTAAGGCAGGCAGGGGAAGTTAGAACTAAATCCTGAGTGTAGCAGCTGTCAATTTAGCCCTTGAGGCTTACGAATGTTCTAATTGTGCTGGTCATTGTGGGAGGATTATGTTGTTGAAACTTATTTTATTCTTTGGTATTTTAAATACATTTATTTTAAACATAAAATAAAAACATTAAAGACAAACAAAAATGTATTAAGAAAAATAAAAGGGGCTTTGTGCCTGTAGCTCAGCAGCTAGGGCGCCGACCACACTGGAGCTGGCGGGTTTGAACCCAGCCAGGGCCTGCCAAACAACAATGATAACTTCAACAACAACAAAAATAGCCAGGTATTGTGGCAGGCGCCTATAGTCCCAGCTACTTGGGAGGCTGAGGCAAGAGAATTGCTTAAGCCCAGGAGTTTGAGGTTGATGTTGCACTCTACCGAGGGCAACATAGTGAGACTCTGTCTCAAAAAATAAATAAATAAAAAAAAATAAAAGAATTTGTTCTGTATATTTGGATTCAGTCAAAAGGCCACACTTAGGACTGAGAAGGCTATATGTGACCTTAAGCTGCGGGTTCCCACCCCCATGTTAGCATGTGTGAAGAGAAGGAGGGGATTTTGTTCAGTGTTGGCTCTGGAGCAGCCCTTCTCCACTGGGGCTCTGTAGAGAATTAAGCCCTAATGCCCTTAGGATCCATGTTATGTAGTGAATTAACTTCTCTCCTGTGATTCTGTCTACCCTCCTTGGGAAAACTGAGAAAATAGTCACTGAAAATATTTTCTGTGGAGCTTAATTATTTCCCAGAAATTATTTCTCAGAACCTAGTGTGAGAAAGGCTGCCCAGAGATTACAATATGCAGCTTTACTTGTCCTGTTCTACCTTCAAATGACGTTACTCAACGAACAATGTAAAATCTTACATTACTATCTTTCCTTTTACAGGAACCTTATGCTGTTGTCATACGATGCATATGCTGTAAACCCACGATAAATATATTGTTATTATTTCCTTAAGTAGACAATACTCTTTTAAAGGAATTTCTTATGTGTATATGGACTCACATACCTAATTTTTTCAAATGTCTTTTATATTTCCTTGCATATTTACCTTTGCTGTTATTTCTCGTTTCTTCTTCCAAACGTGAGCTTCTACCTGGTGTCACGTCCCTTCTGCCCAAGTACTTTTAGCATTTCTTGTAGTGTGTATCTATTCTGTCAGCTTCTGTCTGCCTGGATCTTTCACTGATTCTTTCTAAATGCTGCTAAGCCCAGTAAATGACTCCTTTATTTCTAATATTGTATTTTTATTTGCAGCATTTCCATTTAGTTGGTGTTTTTTTATAGTTTTCATCTCTCTGCCCCATATGTTCGTGCATACTGTCCACTGTTTCCACTGAGTTCTTTAACACACTTACCATAGTTATTTTAAAGCCTGCATCTGGTTCATCTCAGAGTTGGCTTCTGCTGTCAGTTCTTCATGTGTCTCATAATTTTTTATTGTATTTCAGACATTTTGAATAAAGGAACAGTAGAGATTGAGGTAAATAAAACTTTTCCTCAGAAGATGGCGCAGCTTCCTTCTGTCAGGCTACAGGGAGTGAGGGGGCTACATGGACCTCATCTGTAGTTTAGGAGCAACTTTGGCTGGAGTTCATTCACCTAAGGCTTTAAATGTTTTCAAAGTGGAATCAGGACTTTCCCTTCAGTGGGTTTTGGGATTTTAGACCTGGCAAATCCTAAGAATGTCTTTATGGGACTGTGAGTGATCTCTTTGGTGTCCAGCCCAGCAGCCCACTGGGGGCTGCTGGAGAGTTCTCTGCTCTCCTGTTTCACCTCCACTTTCTAGCCTCAGGAGGCCTCTCTCCACTTCACTTCTTCCTGCCCAACTTTCCATGACACCTGCATGATAGGGTTGGCATGTTGGGCTGGGCCTCCCTGGAGTTCTCTGTCCCACCAGCCCCCACAGGCCATGAACTTCCATTGGCTGCCCCTCCTTGGCGGATCCTGCCGTCCACCACACTGCCAGGGTAAAAGCAGCATGGGCTTCTTCCCACAAGAAAGGGCTAACTGCTGTGTGCAGTTTAATTAATTTAAGACCATTTGTATTCTTGGCTCTCAGATGACTTTTCTTTTCATTTGATTTTGTTGCTTATTTAGCTTGTTCTCATTGATAGGGTGAGAGTGACAGTCTTTTGTAACTTTCTACATTTTGACCATAAGTGAACACTTCCTTTTACTTTTTTAAACACATTTTCCCCCAAACTTCTTTTGGAAATTGTCAAACCTATAGAAAAATGAAAAGAACAGTACAGTTAACATCCAGGTACCCTTCACCTAGATTTACCAGTTGTTAACATTTTGACACATTTAGTTTTTCTGGTTACATGTGTATGTATGTGTGTGTGTACTTTTTTTCCCCTGAACCATTTGAGAATAAGTTGCAGTCATCATAACCTGGATCTCCTACAAACAGGACATTTTCCTGCATGACTACAGTAGAATGTTCCTCCTTAGAAATTTACCATGGGCATGACAGTATTGACTAACTTAACAGTCCATAGGCTGTCCATACATAAAATCTGGAATCACTGGCAAATATACATGACATTTTTGAGGTAATCTTCAATCTGTGAAAAATAATGCTGTATTATCTCCATTCCTAGATAGATATTTTTATTTCCTCCAGTTTTTCTCAAAACAACCTTTTTAACCTCTTTTCCTTTTCTTTTTTTTTACCTCTTTTCTTTTGGAAAGTCTCACATCTTTTGTGGGAGACCTTTTTTGACATTGTCATTGAGTTATATCCTGGCCAGTTTTAGTAAAATCTTCTATGTTCTGAATTCGTCTATGTTTCCTCATGATGCGGATTACTTTAACAGAAATCAAAAATCAAGATTTTCACATGGAATAATTCCGATGCTTCAGTGTCTCATAGGACACTCAGTACACAGCTGGGAGCCACGTCTAGCCTGGCCTGTACCCACCGGTCCTGGCCTCCCTTGCCTTCCTCTCATCTCCCCGCTTCCCCTGCAGCAGCACCACCTGGGCAGTCTAGGATCCCAGGGTAGGGGTAGGGGACAGGTCTCACTCACAGTTTGCTCTGCCTTCCAGATTCTGGTACAGGTCAAAGAGGTCCTCTCCAAGCTGAGCACACTTGTGGAAACTACACTCAAAGAGGTGTGTGTTGTGGGGCAGTGGGTGGGGATGGGGGTGGGGATGGGGATGGGATGGGGGCTTCCTGGCTGGGGAGGGGTGGTAGAACTCAGGAACTCACACACCCACCTCCCTCTACCCCTACACCCCCACCCCATGTCTTCTCCCCTGAATGTCTCCTCCTCTCCTGGCCTCTTGGTCTGTGTCCCTCCAACTTCATTTGTGTCCCCTGCTCATGCCTCTTGCATGATTCTTTTTGGCCTGCTGTGACTTCCTGCCCCTCCCCTCACCTCTGCCCTCTCCCCACATCTCTCTCTGGGCCCCTCCCTCTCCGGTGGCCTCTTTTCTTCCAGACAGAGAAGATTACAGTGTGCGGGGACACTCATGGCCAGTTCTATGACCTCCTCAACATATTCGAGCTCAACGGTTTACCCTCTGAGACCAACCCCTATGTATCCTTCACAAAAGCCATTTTTTTCCCCACCCCATTCATGTGGAGGGGGAGGAGCCCTGCTAGATCAAAGGTGTGACCCTGAAAGGGAAGGGGAGCAGCAGGCTGGCCCTACCTTCCAGGCTGTAGGGTCAGACAGGCCAGGGCCAGTTTCATATGCTGTGTGGCCCTGGCTAGGAGCACAGTCTGTCCTGGTTCTGGCTTTTTTGTGTCTGCTATAGGATAATATCCAAGTGGAAGCAGGTTACTTTGTTGCCTGGTGCCTCAGTTTCCTCACTTGTAAAGGGGAGGTAATAATAGGACTGATCAACAGGAGTAGAAGAATTAAGAACAGGCCCTGGTCCGTACTTGATGCTACGTTAGTATTGCTGTTATTATGCTGTGCCGTTTCCTTGATAAATGGCCGCTGTGTAGGGCTATTGGGCCTATGCACTGTTGGCTAAGAGGGCCTGTGTCCCATCTTCCTAGGTTTAGGCCTCTTCTGGGGAAGAGCTGAAGCAGTCTGATTGTCAGTGCCCACCCCTACCCCCTCCCAGGGGCTATTGATTTTTCTGAGATATGGGAGGTTGGTGTCTTCCACACCATCCCACTGAGGCCCAGAGGCTAGGTGGCTGGGCTGGCCAGAGCTACATAGCAAAGAAAGAGACAAACACCCAGAGCCCCCAAACCCTGCTGAGTCCTCACTCCTTGGGTGGTAGTGATACAAACCTTGGGAAAGAGCAGCCCCTCTGGCCCACCAGCTCTCCCCTGTGCCATGCTGTTTTCCTTAGCAGGGCAGATATTTAATGGCGACTTTGTGGACCGCGGTTCCTTCTCCGTAGAAGTGATTCTCACCCTTTTTGGCTTTAAGCTCCTATATCCAGATCATTTTCACCTATTGCGAGGTGAGTTGAAAGGCAGCAGAGCCTGGACATTGTAGGAACCTAGGTAGGGCATTTACTTTGCCTTCTGTGAGTCTCCATCTTCTTCTCCAGAAAGCAAAAATAATAGTTGCTGCCATCATCTGTTTTTGAGATTGACTGAGATCATGCCCAGGTCTGTCTTGTAAAGTTGAGCAGGTTGTTCACTGCACAATGTCATCACACTAAGGAGCAGCACTCATGTCATAGACAGCATAAATAGTGTGTTTATTATGTCCATTTTTCAGCAGCTGGCAGTCAGAGTCTTAAGGAAGGGCCCCCTTTTTTCTGATTTGTACAAGGACATAAAACAGGTTCCTAGGTGGCCAGAATCAGGCAATAAAGTCAAGCTGAGTAACTGAGTGAACAGACCAGGCAGAGGGTAAGAGCAAGAAGACTGACAAGGAGATGGCTGGGTTGCCTCAGATTTGAGCTCAGTATCAAATTTGGAGTCTCTTGAATGAAAAAGAATTGAGAGAGAGGAGGCCAAAGGGGCCTCCAGGTTTTAGGCTGGAGCACCAGGAAGGGCCATGGCTGCCACTGATGAAGGCAGGGAGTGGCCAGATTTTTGAGACTTAGGAGACATGAGGTGAAGTGGGGTTCCAAGGGGGTCATGAATGTGGATTCTAATGGCAGTAGGCAGAGTGACCTTGCCTAGGAATGAGGACCAGGGGTACAGGAGGCCCATTGTGATGTTGGTGGGGAGTAGGAGGTGCAGCCTGTGAGAGGGCACCAGGAGGAGGCAGTTAGTCTTTGTCCCCGGCCATGGGCTTCTGCAATAACACCTGGCACCGTGGTGACTGCTCAGGAAGCCCCCAAGGAGGCCAATCTTAGGAGGTGGGAAAGGCTGGGACTGAGGAATGAGAAAGTCAGAGTCTTAGCAGATGCAGGACTAGGCCTGTTACTGGTCTGCCCAACACCCCAGAAGGGATGGATGTGGCTGGATGTGTGTGTATGAAAAATGGAACTCTGTGTGTGTGTGTGTGTGTGTGTGTGTGTGTGTGTGTGTAAAGGATGGAGCTTTGTGCAGACCAGGCCACACCAGATGCTCTGTAAGTTGTCCTGGATTTTGTTGTGATTCCTCCTTGGTACCTCCAGCCTGGAAGTTCTGCATTGGGGGCCCTGGTGGTTGTGTTCTCATGGATTCTTCTCAGCCTCAGTTTGCTTCCCTAGAAGGCATGAGAATGGTGTCTATACCTTGTGGAGTTTCTGTGAAGGGCCAGTGGGCTGAGAACACCTGGGACTGCAGGAGGACACTGATGGACTTGGAAGCTGAGGTTTCTCTTCTGTCCCCTTGTCGGCCAGGCAACCATGAGACAGACAACATGAACCAGATATATGGTTTTGAGGGTGAAGTGAAGGCCAAGTACACAGCTCAGATGTACGAGCTCTTCAGCGAGGTGTTTGAGTGGCTCCCGTTGGCACAGTGCATCAACGGCAAAGTTCTGGTGAGGATGTTGCTGGGGACCGAGTGCGGGCTCCCTCCACCACCATGTCACCTGGACAGAGGTGCAGGTGAAGTGGGTTGGGATTGGGGGTAGCTGGCTCCTCCCCTTACTATGGCCATCCTTCCAACTCCCCAGATCATGCATGGAGGCTTATTCAGTGAAGATGGCGTCACCTTGGATGATATCAGGAAGATTGAGCGGAATCGGCAGCCCCCAGATTCCGGTGAGTGTAATGGGGTCAGGAGGATATCCCCTTCCCCGTGAGGCCCCAGGATCGCCAGCAGAAAGGAGCAGCCTGGACTCAGATCTCAGCTGCAACCATTGCCCTTCCTTTACTTTGTGCCCTTGGCAACAGGCAGCAAATCTGAGCTTCAATTTCCTCTCTTGGAACATGGGTTAGTGCTCCTCCCTGGTGGGCCAGGCTGGCAGAAGCACATTAGTGACCACAGCACAGGGCAGAGGCCATGGAGAGCACTGAGCACTCCTGTCCTTGTTCGCCCAAGTTCACCTACTGACCCCTGGAGAGAAATATTGGGGTCCCCATGCTAGTGATGAGAACAGATTGGCAGAGAGTATTCACGCACACACACGATGTAAGTGCTGTGGAGGACATGGACAAGCACATGCTGGGCATGCAGAGAAGGGAGAATGTGGCAGGGGGAGAAGCAGCGGAGTGACTGCAGGTGGGCAGGGTTGTGCTTTAGGGCTGACACCGGACATGAGGTTACCTGGGGCTGGATCCTGCAGAGCCGAGTGGGCCTCCATGTGGAGCTTGGTCTTTATTCCTAGGGCAGTGGAGAGCCACAGAGGCTTTAAGCTGGATAGGGACTGGTTCTGAGTTGCAATGTTAAAAGTTCCTTGTGGCTCCAGGGCTATAGTAGATTGAGTGGAGTCTGGAGGGAAGAGCTTGGGGAAGCCCACTGGAGCAGAATCACAGTGACATGTCCTGAGCCCTGTGCACAGTGGACATTTGTTCCCTGCTGGACCCCACCTAGGCTGTGCCATGAGCTGAGCTCCTTACTGGGCCAGGATGTGGCCTGTGAGTACCCACCCCCAGCAAGGCAGACAAGTCCCTGACATTTCCCTTCTCTCCCCATCAGGTCCCATGTGTGACCTGCTTTGGTCAGATCCACAGCCACAGGTAAGTCTAGGAGGTAGGTCCAGGGCCAGCAGGTGGGCTGTGGGCAGAGCAGTTGGGGGGAGCAACAGTCACCCTGAACACCCATCTCTCCCTACCTGCCTGCCCCAAGAATGGGCGCTCAGTCAGCAAGCGGGGCGTGAGCTGTCAGTTTGGGCCTGATGTCACCAAGGCTTTCCTGGAGGAGAACAACCTGGACTACATCATCCGCAGCCACGAGGTCAAGGCCGAGGGCTATGAGGTTGCACATGGAGGCCGCTGCGTCACTGTCTTCTCTGCTCCCAACTACTGGTATGTCCTGCCTGCCCCACTAGGGCCTTTTTCCCTGGGTCACAGGCTTTTGTCTTTGTCTTAACTTTTATGGTGGAACATTAAGATGGAAGTCATAAAGATGTCAAAAATAGGAGTAGATCTGACAATCTGATCAAGACTGCAGACCCATCACCTGGCCTCACCAGGCACCAGCCAGTCATCTCTTGTTGCTAACCGGCCTGTCCTTTGGCTGTGTTATAGAGAACTCCGAGGCTTCGTACCTGCCTTCTATTTGTTGCCCAGCGTGGGGTGGACACACAGAACTCTTTTTTTCTTTTCTCAACCTAACCACAGTATTACTGTCACAACTCTGAGAAAGGAGGAATAATTCCATGATGTCACCTGAATCCGCCCAAATTCCATTTCCTCCCAGCTCTGTTTGTTCATTTGATTTCTTCCCAAACAAGGGCCACATTTCAGTCTCTTTCCCTGTGAGTTTCCTGCCATCCTCACCCCCCACCCCCTGACATATTTATTTGCTGAAGAAACCAGGCTGCTTGGCTTTGGTTACCTGAGCCCTGGACTAGGCAGACTTCACCCCAGTGGTGCTGAGTCACGCGTTCCTCTGTCCCTGTATCAGACATGATCAGACCTCAAGTCCAGTATTGGAGAACCCCCTCCCCGGGCTGTACCCTATCCTCTCCACTTCTCTCAGCCCCATCCTCTTTCCCTCATCCCCCTCATCCTGCTGGTGTTCTGGGCCCCTCTCCTTTCCTCTGCATTATTCTCTTTCTATCCCTGTCATGGCTCTCCCCGAGTCCCTCCCTCTGCTCTCTCCTGGCCTCTGCCCTTTGCTTCCTCCTGTCTCCCCTTCTTTCCCCTCTCCTCTCTCTTTCTCTCTTTCCTCCTCTGGCCCTTCTTTTTCTTGACCCTCCAGACCTGCCCAGCTTTTGACCACCCTGTCCACTCTGTTCCTTTTCCTACAGCGACCAGATGGGGAACAAAGCCTCCTATATCCACCTCCGGGGCTCTGACCTGCGGCCCCAGTTCCACCAGTTCACAGCAGTGGTGAGTCACCCATTGGGTCCCTGCCCCTCCCAAACCCGCCCTGGGGAGGAGGAGGCTGAGTGAGATCCCTGGTCCAGGGGGAAAGAGGTGGGTCCTGTGTGCAGGTGTTCAGAGGTTCCCCTAAAGCTGGCTCCTATTGACTCACCTTTCCGTCCATCCCATGTGCCTCTCATTCCGCAGCCTCATCCCAACGTCAAGCCCATGGCCTACGCCAACACGCTGCTGCAACTAGGAATGATGTGAGGCGACATGTGGGGCGTCCTGCATCCCAGGACCTCTCCCCTTCCACTGGATCCCAGGCCCCAGCTGGTAGGGCAGGGGAGGGCAGAGCCAGCCCCGCCCCAGGGCAACATTGGACCTCCTTTTACTTTGTAAAGTTTGTATTTATTCCCCTTTAGGTTTGCAGAGGGGGTGGGAGCAGAGTCAGGGGCTGGCTAGAGGGTCTGCTCCTTGGACAAAGAGGAAGGAGGTAGCGAGGCTGGGGTTGGGGGCTCAGCCGGGCATTCTAGAGGGAGGCCAGTCTCAGGGTGAGGTGGGGCCAAGTGGCTGCCCTGCCCCCCTCATGTGCATGGCTCCTCCCCAACTAAAGCAATAGGGCCCCGCCATAGGAAGACCCTCAGAAACAGGGTCATCAGGGAGGCTTCGCCTGCACCCCCTCCAGGAGCCCCATGGTGGGGCTAGACTGGGCCCACCCCTCCCCAGCTATTTTATGTCTGTAATTAAATATGTTAAAATAAAATCATTATTGTACGTCAGCTTGTCTCAGACAGTAGAGCCCCAAAAGCTGCCAGGGTTGGGGTAACCATTTCCTCAGAAGAACCAAAGGGATGGGGAGGCTACTCAGTCTCACCAGCTGGATAGGCCAGGTTCAGGGCTGTTGCCCAGGCTGCCTGTGTCTGCCTGGCACCATGTACTCCAAAGGGCTTCTCCTGCTACCTGAGGGAAAGGTCTTGCCAATGGTCTATCGTGTGGACAGAGAGATGTGGCCTGGGCTGGACCAGGGAGGCCAGGACAGAGTGGAAGCTAGAAGAATCTCATCTTGTCCTCTGCTTGTCCTTGCCAGCTGGTGTTCATTTCCCCAAGTCAGCCCTGCCTCCAGCTCTTGGCCCACTGAGTAGAACCCTTTCAGGTGGACCCAGCTCTTGTTCTTGACCTTACGTAATGAGACAGATATCTCTAACTGCCAAGGGAGATGGGGGATTCTCTGCCACTCCCTCACTAGTGTTGAGGCTGCCATGCCTGGCCTTGGCCTTCCAGAGAGATTCTGTTTTCAAGGCTGAGCTCTTCTGGACTCAATTTTCCCTAGGGAGATATAGCCCTGGGCTATTTTCCACAGGCAAATGACAACCTGGAGGGTAGAGTCCAGTGAGTATTTTGGCCCCTTTAGTGGCCTCCTGGGCAGAAGTGAGGCGACCACATTCCCAATTCTGTTTGGCCATCAGGAATGCTCTTCTAAGCCAGTCAGTGTTGCCATAGGAAACCATCCTCTCAGGGCAGGAGTTCTGGAGCTTAGAGTGGCTTCAGGAAGACGAGCAAAGGTCCCAGGCTGCCAGTGTTCTCCTTTTTCCATAAGAAAAACAAAAGCTACGGTAGCTATCAGGAGGGCAACTCAGACCTCTGGTGGGATTCAGCTGAGTGGGAACCTGGAATATTGTCTGGCTCATTGAGTGTGGTGGTTCTCTTCTGTGGCATTTCGGGAGGTTCCCCTAGACATTCTCACATTTAAGAATGTGCTGGAAGGACTCCCAGGACTCAGAAGAGACATCATGCTCATGGTCAGCGGTTTAAAATCAACCAAGGGAAGAGGCACATTGGGTGGAATCCAGGAGAGCCCAGGTGTGAGCTTCTGTCCTCTCCACTAGAGTACTCATTCCTCCTGCACTGATGTGACCAACATGGACCTGAGTGTGACCACCTAGAGAGGCTCACCTGAGCTTCGGTGTCAGAGTTTTCACTGGGGGCTGGTCATGGCGACTGCCCAGCTCACTTGGCTAACCTCAGCTCCCACTGTAAATCACATCCTTAGACTACATGGTGTGACCCAAGGCCCCAGAAAAACTAGGACCTTCTTATCAGGGAGCTTATTCTAAGGGCTTACAGGTGTCCCCTCAGGAGAACAACCTTTTTTGGGCAAAGTTAAATCGTTTCCTGCACAGCTGTGGAATAAACCACACTAATGACTTCAAAAACCATGTAGTGGGGCTGGGCACAGTAGCTCACACCTATAATCCCAGCACTCTGAGAGTCTAAGGTGGGTGGATTGCTTGAGCTCTAGAGTTCCAGACCAGCCTGAGCAAAAGTGAGACCCCATTTGTAAAACTAGCTGGGCATTGCAGCGGGTTCCTATAGCCCAAGCTACTTGGGAGGCTGAGGTAAGAGGATTGCTTGAGCCCAAGAGTTTGAGGTTGCTGTTAGCTATGATGCCATGGCAATCTACTGAAGGCAATGAGTAAGACTTTAAAAAAAAAAACAAAACCCTGCAAATCGCTGCCATCTCTCAGTTCCAAGATTGTGCAGTGCTTACCTGGGGACTTGTATAATCAGATGGCATCTGGGACTAGCATCATATGAAGACTGGCCTGGTGGACATCCAAGGTGGCTAATTGCTGTGGCAGGTGGCTGCTGCAAGCTGTTAGCTGAGCCATCCCTGAGTCCCTGCTCGGGGCCTCTCCTCATACCGCGGCAGCTGGGTCCTATGAGGGAGCATTCTAGATGCTTTTCCCCTGCAGCAAGGAAGCCATGGGGGTCACAGCCCATCACTTCTGCCATGTTCTGTCCATCCACAAGTCACTAAGGCCAACCCATGTCTAAGGGGGTGGGGAATTCACCTGCTACCTCATGCTGATAGTGTGGCCAGGGCAGCAGGTGGGACAGGAACCCCTGAAGCAGCCTAGGAGGATGCTGCCTGCCATGCCCCACCTCACCAAGACTCACAGTGACATCTTTGAAGAGGAAGTTGGGTTTTTTTTAACTTATGATTGAAATTAAATTTGTAGGTTAAGCCCAAAATTCTTAACATTATGTATGAAATGGCAGTTTTTCCTATAGGAAGGGGCCTATATTAAATATATGAGCTTCTGGCTTTATATGATGAGAACAGCACAATTCCAGATCACATGCTGTTGGTATTCCTCATAAAATCCTGTTTGCTTTTTTCCTTTTCTTATTTGGAAACGACTTAAAGCTTAACAAAAACTTGCAAGAAAGGTACAAAAAACACCTGTATACCCTTTATCCAGATTCACTATTACGAAACATTTACACTGAGTGTTTGTTTGGCATGCACTGTGTGTGTGTGCATGTTTGTGTTCATTTGTCTTGTCCCTTTTGTCTCTTTAATATATATATATTTTTGAGACAGTCTTTGTCACCCTCAATAGAGTATGGTGGTGTCACAGCAACCTCCAATTCTTGGGTTCAAGCGATTCTCTTGCTCAGGCTGGTCTCAAACCTGTGAGCTCAGGACAATCTCTTTTAATCTGGAGCCTTTTTTTTTCAACCTTTGTGTTTAATGACATTGACATTTGTGAAGAATAAGATCCTTCCCTTGTAGTCTTTGTATGAAAAATGTCCCCTGGGATTCAGCTGGTATTTCTGCTGGTGGTGGCCCTCCAGCTGGAACAGAGCAGAGGTGATGGACCAAAGGTCCTTTTACTGGTGATATACGTTGCAAATACACAAATTTGTAAACAACTGAACCATTCTATGAAGTATATATCCCAGACTATCTTTTCCTCTTTAGACTTCATTGTGGAGTTTCACTACATAAATGTTCCTTTTATGACATCACATGTATCAGTGTTTGCATCATAGGGCTGGTGTGGAAGTCACAATGCCTCTCCCACACCCAGGTTTCAGGGACGTTTCCTCAGGTTTCTTCTGGCATTTGTGCAATTTCCAAAGTCTTTACACTGAGATCTCCACCCTGTTTGGATTTCCTTCTGATACATGGTATGAGGGGTGGGTTTGATTTCTATCTTTTTGCAAGTAGCTGTTAGAAGAAATTTTTTTAATGAAAGGAGAAGTTACAATGGGGAGTATCTTGATAAAAAGATTATCGTCTTTTTTTTTGAGACATAGTCTCACTCTCCTTGTGTAGAGTGCTGTGGTGTCATAGCTCACAGCAACCTCAAACTCCTACTCAAGCAACCTCTTGCCTCAGCCTCCAGACTAGCTGGGACTACAGGCACCCATCATAACACTCGGCTAGTTTTTCTATTTTTAGTAAAGGCAGGGTCTCACCCTTGCTCAGGCAGGTCTCAAACTCCCAAGCTGGAGGAATCCTCCCGCCTCAGCCTCCTAGAGCATTAGGATTTCAGGTGTGAGCCACTGCAACCAGCCGGTAAAGTTTATTGTCTTAACACAAAAGTTAGAACAAATTCAGAAGCTGTCCCCATAACCCAAACTATAATCAGGTTAGCATGAAGGAGCAGGGTGGAGGGAAAGTATCTATTGCAGGAAAGTCTTGGTCCATCAGTGCATTTTAAGTTGAGAAGGATAAATACAAGTGAGTCGGATGTAGGCAGTTTGAACAAAAAAAAAAGCACAGTCTAACTTCTGAGCATGAGGTTGAAACACCACTGAAAGCAGGTGACTTAACACCCAGGACTGTAGGTTCTGAGAGGGGGTCACTTACCTAGGGGTATGGAAGGCACAGGGAGGCCAGGGAGAATCTGAGGTCAGGTGCAGACACCATGAGTGTGATGATGTCAAGAGATTGCTGGGCAAGAGCAGATGCCAGAGTCCCAGGATTCATGGGCCTGAACGAGGAACCCCATGAAGAAAAGACCAGAGACCCAGGAAGAAGTCTCAGAAGCCCACTTTCCCCACTGACCATGACTGGATGGAGCAGAGACTTGGAAGCAGCTAGGTTCTCTTCCTCTATCTTTCTCTTGGTCCCTTTTTATTATTATTATTATTATTATTATTTTGTTTTGTTTAAGACAGAAGCTCAGTCTGTTGCCTGAACTAGAGTTCAGTGGCATCATTGTAGCTCACTGTAGCCTCAAACTCCTGGGTTCAAGCCATCCTTCTCCCTCAATCTCCCAAGTAGCTGGGACTATAGGTGTGCACCACCAGGCCTGACTAATTTTTATATTTTTTGTAGACAGGGCCTTAAGGCCAGGAGTTCAAGATAGGCTGGTCTGGATGTCTTGGCCTCAAATGATCCTCCCACAGTGGCCTCCCAATGTGCTAGGATTACAAGCCACCTCTCCCACCACTGTTGGTCTCTTTTAAGCTTCCTTCTCACCTGCCCCTTCATCTGTCATTGGCCATGATTTGGCCACAGGCCCAAGCTCTGGCCACTAGGAGTAGGCAGAGAGATGACCAGCCCACCACAGCAAAGGGTGGGCACAACTGCCTCCTGCCTGCCAGCTGATGTCAGGCACTTGGCAGCCAAAGGGACAGATGCTCACTGTCCTTCCCCCACTCAACTCTGTACCTGACAGACAAAAACAGCCTGTGAGTCCTCCCACAGTTCCCATCTCCATGGCCCAAAGTTTGAGGGGAGCCAGACTGAGGAATTTCAACACCTCAGTAGTGGGTGGAAGCAGTTAAAGCCTCAGGGTACCAGTGGGGTGAGCTCCAGTGTCAGAGATGATTTAAGGGGGCAGAGGCAAAAGCCTGGGTCTCGTGCTTTGTAGCCTGTAGTTTACAGCAGAGAGCTATGGAACAAATGGGACCCTCATACATCACTTTGGGTGGGGTGTAAGTTGCTACAGTTCCTGTGGGGGAACTGGCTATTCCTCAAGAA